TTTTTTTTTTTTTTTAAAGATTTTCTTAATTGTCTGTGTGTCCATGCCTTTTCCTGCCTTTTCCAGATGACTTTACAGATGCTCTGTTCTGAACAGCCAGAGCATTTCAGAGGTGTAACAACACACCTGCACAGCCTCTTGCCATCCAGCTCCAAACAGGTACACTATGTGACTTTTTCAGTCATTGTTTGACATTGAATAAGAATCATGAATTGTATAAGAATTGCTGTGCCTATTTTAGTTGTGTATATTTTACTTGACAGCTTCAGCCAGGAAATGAAGCTCTTGAAGCCAACTTTGTCAAGCTTGTTCAGAGACTTCTGGAAGACCCAAATAAGAGAGACCATTTCCTGAAGGTGCTTATGCTTCATCATTTGTGTTGATCGTGTAGCATTGTTTGTTTGTCAAATGATACACTATCATGAGATTTCATATTCATACATTTGCTTGAAATTTCTACCTGACAGAATGTGTTTCCTGTGGAGTTTGGTCATGACTTTGATACAGCACTGGAGACACTGGTTTGTGAGTTCTTCACCCGACTGGAACAACTTATGCCGGTACCAAACTTTAAACAGGTACAGAGACCATGATGACTGTTAGTGCAGTTGCACTTTACAAATTGGATGTTTGGTTCCAGACCATCAAATTAATACATTTATTTGTTTAATAAAGACCACGGTGTGGGTCAGTGATACACCCTCTGTGCTAGAAGAGTGCATGCAGTGTGTAACTAAAGCTGATGACCTCAAATTGTTGCACAGAAGCAAGGTGCCCTGCAGTGAAACCGCCAACACAGATACCAGTGGTAAGTCTGTCTGGGATACTAGCAGGGTTTATGGGCAGCATTAGTGCTGAAACAGTCAGTATATTGTAGTGAAGGATCTAGCAAGAATGACGACATTTGCCAGTTTCAGTTTGTAAAATGTGTAAATTCTTTTTCACTCTTTTATGCCAGTGTAGATTGAATATATTTAGGTTTTGCATTGTTGATCAGAAATCAACAAACATCATTTTAAATGTTGTAATTGGTATTTTTCATTATTTTATGACATTTATAGAAAAAATAGTTTATCAATGAATTTTTAAAAAATTGATTGGTTGTGATTATTAGTTGCAGCCCTGGTGCAGATATATTACAACCACTTTGAAATGTAACACTCTTACATGTAAATTAACTAGTCTCACTTGAAACTTTCTTTTGTTAAACAGTGCCCTCTTCCTCAGAGCAGCTGCTCTTGTCCTCATTCTCTATCCTTCCTACACTGATAGAGATAAGCACAACAGATGTGGAATCTGACACACAAACATTACAAAACCAAAGAGAATCTGAAGCGATATCTGCTCAGGAGACTGGAGAGCTTGAGATACACGATTCGAGACAGCCATCTGAGGAGGAACCAGATGTTTTCAACAGCAGTAACACTGAACCATCAACAGGAGAGAAAAGTAATGACAGCATTCCTGATGTTCACATTGTGGTGGTGATCAATGACCAACCTTCATCCACCTCCCAGGCTCCTTCTGTACCTGCTGTATTGTCCAGCTCTATGGCTGGCCCCCCTCGGCAGAGAGTTGCCCACAAGTGTGTGCAATGCGGGAAGTGCTTCATTTACCGTTATAAACTTGTGGAGCATCAGAGGCTACACACTGGAGAAAACCCTTACAAGTGCTCTCAGTGTGGAAAATCCTTCAGGAGGACATCTGACATGTCCACTCACAGACGAACACAATGTGCAACAGCAGCTTATATGTGCATCAAATGTGGGGCTAGCTTTCCATCTGTACGGGAAAAATTTAGACACCGGTGTGGTCGTATTGTCCAAAGGTTTGACTGTTCTCACTGTGGAAGAAGCTTTAAAAAAATGTACCTGCTGACTAAGCATGAGCTGACTCACACCCAGCGCCGTCTTCCCCGCACCGTCTTTACATGCAGACAGTGCAGGGAAGTGTACCCCAGTATGAGTGAGCTGAGAACCCATCAGAAGAGTCATCCTCCTGAGCTATCCAATCAGTGTGTGCAGTGCGGGAAATTTTTCAGCTCTGCTGCGTGTTTGGCAGGACATGAGCTGCGCCACAGGCAACCCAAAACACAGACTTGCATATATTGTGGCAAAACCTTTAAGAACAAACATGACCTGAATCTTCACATGCGTAGCCACACAGGTGAAAGGCCTTTTCAGTGCACGTACTGTGGGAAACGTTTCTCTGTGTCAGGAAATCTGAACGTACATATAAGAATTCACACTGGAGAAAAGCCCTATCTGTGTTCTGACTGCGGCAAGGCTTTTGTTTCAGCCGGCGAGCTGCAGATACACAGACGCTCCCACACAGGGGAAAGGCCGTACAAATGCGCAGTATGTGGGAGAGGATTCACCATGGCGAGTAAAGTGACACTTCATATGCGTGTGCACACTGGGGAACGTCCTTATGTCTGCTCTGAATGTGGGAAAGGTTTCTCCCGTGGTAATGAACTAAAAAAACATACCATGAACCACACAGGGGTTCGACCCTATGCCTGTCAGCTGTGTGCAAAAACTTACACATGCCTCAATCACCTAAAAAGACACTTAAAAACTCATACTGTAATCCAAGCCCAGGCTGTGTGATTCCCTTTGTTACAACAAGGCTTTTTGTACTGACTTGTTTTGATTTAATGAACTGTTAATAGGTTTCACACTGACCCTCTGGTGTAAGGACTGTGCTGCAAAAATGCTTGTTTTTTTCTGTCTTGAGTCTTTATCCAGCTTTGTCAGATCTGTTCTGGATATTTAAATTCTTTAAGTACAGCTTTTGGGCCTGACATAAAAGTGTATTTCTTTTGTTCTCTAATCCTAAAATATGTTAAAAGGTCTCTAAGAAAACATTATTTTCATGTATAAATTAGTTCCATATTCTTCTGTCAGTTAACATTTAGTTTCTTATTGGAATTGACATTATTTGCCAGGATAAGTGTTTTTTTATGTCAGTATACTAAACACTGAATAAATCCTAACTAGGCTATGGAAGTAGCTTGTCTGTTCCTGACAGCAACAGAATTTCTATTTGAATTTGGCATGAAACATCCTGTGTTTGTACTCTCAGATAAACAAATTAGACAGCTGGATGAAATATATATAGAAATGAGTTTCACTTCAGTTAATACAGTTTTTTTTCTAGATTTTGTTTCTAATTAGAGCTGATTGTTTCAACTAATTTTAGGTATTTAATGTCATTCTTACAAAAGCTTTTACCTTTTCAATTGAAAGATTTTGAGACGTTAAAAACAAACAAATGTTCAGACGTTGCTTATAAGATTGTGGTTTTTGATTGTCTAGATGTAACTTTTGGAAGTGTGTTACAAGAAATAACATTTGTGTGTATAAAAATGATCTAAAATCTGTTTAGAAAAAATGAAAGTGTCCTCAATAATAAATCACTGAATGCCAAACATTAAGCTGATGTGCTGTAACTCCATACTGGGATAGTTTATTAGGGAAAACAACAAGTCTTGTTAGTTATTTGTCCTGACTGTAAAATACCAATAATTATTGTATCAAAACTTCATCATGGAAACAATTAAAAACTAAATGGTTATGGTGATTGAACCATTATGGTTTTATTAGGCTTTGGCATAAAGACTACATTATTTTGTTAGGCTTTGAAAAGGCTTGTGGTTAAAACAAATCTTTGTTGTCATGGTTAAAAAAAGACGTGATTAAGGCTGCGGTGTGGAAAACAATGTTTCACATAGGGATTGATTTCTGTCTAATAACCTCCTCATAACATGCACTTTGTTGCTCTTTATACTTCTATAGACAACCTCATTTTCCCCTGTGTTTACCGCCACAGGCAGTGGTGAAAGGAGGACTCTGTTCCTTAAGTAAAAGTACACAAGTATTGGCATCAAAACGTACTTAAAGTACTAAAAGTATTCATGCAGAATGGCACATTTCAGTATATCATATTATTGTAGTATAGTTACTATTGTGTACATCACATTTAATGTTTCAGCTGGTAAAGAGGGAGCTACTTTTAACTAGTTTATATGCATTTAATTCGAATTACTGCTGGGTAGCGTGTGAATTTTCCACCATAGGTCAATGACCTCTTATAATTATGCTGTATTTTTGTATTCTCTGGTTCTGAAAAGTAACTAAAGTTAGGAAATAGATGTAGTGGGGTAAAAAGTACCATATTTGTCTCTACATTGTAATGAATTCAAAGTATGAAGTGACAAAATGAAAATATAGTACAGATACATTAAAGTTGTACTTGGGTACAGCTCTTAAGTAAACTTTACTTTACTTTCTACCACCGACTAAACTGACCTAACTAAATCAACACATGAGCTTGATTTTACAGGAAAACATAATAGTCGATGTTTCGCAGGTAATCACTTTATTCTGGCTGCCCCGCACAACAAAACGAACACCTCCCTTACAAACAGGCAGACTGGGCCACCAATGCTCCGTACACTGAACAACGTGTTTCAGGAAGAAGTTGGTACCTGAAGCCCGTATGCGGTTAGTTACCACGCTAACGGACACTATGAATCATATCCCACTGTAATGATTTTTCTTTCCACCGTTTTTAAAGACTTGCACAATGAACGACATGGGTATGTATTGTCCTATGGAGCTCAACAAATATAGGTGTTTCTTTTATTTCTTGTGCGGCTAGCCGAATAGCTAAAACGAAGAATTAGCCGAGGCTAAGCAGGCCTCGACTAATCCCTGGAACAAAAATGGTGTTTCACTTTAATATGCCGGTTTTACCTGGCAACAACTGTGGTCTTGTGGCTAGTCTCGCATCGCTAACTAATGCTTTGTTATAACGCTACGCACAATGACGAACTGCAGTTTTTAATGTTTGCTAGGGAAGAAAGAGTTTTATTGAACGCAGCACAACTGCCGGCTAATTTGAACTCTCAAGGCCCAGCTTCATCTAAAATAACGTGACTAGCGTTATGATAACATTTAACAGTTCGTGAACGTCCCATTGATAAATTCACTCATTAAAAGTAAAAGACTAAATGTGTTTGTTTTAGCATTCGAGGTCAAACACGACATGCGCGGGCTGCGTGCACGGGAGTCTGGTGTTTTAGGTAGCACAGTCCATCATCTGCGTGAAGTTGGCCCCCCCCTCCAACGCAAAATAAGGCCAAAATGGTGTCATCTGTTTGTGCTTCGTTGGTGCTGGTTTGTGCTGCAAAAAGTTCCGTTTGTGCTGTTCCGGTATTTGAGATATTAAACAATATCTTTGGGGGTCATCCACAGGTCACTCAGCCCCCCAGGTAGCTCCAAATTGGACAAAAGTGGTGTCGTTCGTTTGTGCTTCGTTTGTGCTGCAAAAACTTTCGTTTGTGGTGTTACAGTATTTGAGATATTACTGCTTTCATTCTTTGACTCATAAAATGCATTTTCAGGTTCTGGCAACATATTTTCACACAACAGGTCCAAAACACTGTAGTATTTTATAATCTTTTCCACCAATGCGACTTGACATTGCAATGAAATAATAATAATAATAATAATAATA